TGCAAGGAAGTGTTTGTGGGCTGTTGCAGCGATCATTACTGGAAGTGTTGGTTGACCGTCCGTCGTAGTGGGACAGCACCTCATTAAGGAGGCTGTCCTGATTTTCAACCATGGAGGTTGAACTCAACTCAAGTCTGCATAATTTTGGCAGATCTCCTGTGAATAAGAACTTTCTCTCTTGTCCTGAAATGCTCCCTGAATGCTGGTCAGTTCAACTCACTACTCTCTAATATTATAAATTGGTGCTAAATGCTCTGAAGAATCCACTGAAAAATGGCCATTTGAGCTGATTTATGGGACTGGAATGACTTTTGTTTTGTTATTCACTGATAATATGTGGACATGACTACTGTGTCCATTTAAATGATTCGTCATTGTTAGAAAGAGGGATTATAGTCAGCCTTTATATTACATGGTGAATCAAGACAATTACCGTCATTTGGGGCAATAGCGACTCACGGATTAAACACACACACACACACTCACACACACACCAGTTGAGTTCACATCCTCCGCAGTGAGGATTTTTTTGATGTGTCATTCGATTACAGCACGTGAAGCAGCGACACACACAGCTTTATGCACATTAATGCTTTTCTCAGCATCACTGTGTCTTCTGTTTTAACGATGAGGTCAATCACCAGCAGAAAGAGGAAAAAAGCAATAATACATTGTTTTGAGGGAGGATGATGAAGCCCTATTACTATTGACGTCTCAGAGGCCCAATGCGTATCTATACTATGCTAGTGTATCAGCTGGTTTTAGAGGAAGACGGAAAACAGCTAAGATAAACATTTTTGGTTCACGGTTGCTTCTTCATCACAGGTCAAATCTTTCCGAACACATGGAGAATATTTTTAGAAATCACAGCTCAACTCAGAACAAATTCCAGCTGGCTGTACACCTGTACAACACCAGTTTAGCACCAAGCAGCAGAATGATCAAAGTGGAGCATTCAGCAAATATTTTAAAATATTAATTTGTCATAGACAAGGTTCCCAGAGATCAAAATTGAGGCCATAAGCCTTTTCAGTGTCCGTCCACGCGTCATCTTTTACGTCGGCCTTCTCACCTGCCACTTCTTGTTGGCGCTGTGGCTGCATTAAAGGCGTCGCCTCGACACGCTCCTTCTATCTGGTGATGAAAGCTTTTCCTCGTCGTTGCGCAGCTTAGCTCAAGTGACGGAGGCTCTGCTGAACCTCTGGCTCTCTAATCGACAATCGGCCTCCGACACCGACACGTTCGACCCTCCGTGCATCTCTGCTGTCAATCGCATCTGCTCTCTTCCTACGACACCTCAGTGAGGAGGTCAGTGAGACTTACCTTATATGGATGTTGTTAAGAGCAGTTAGTCCGGTACGCTTAGAGTTTGGAGGTGAAAAGTGTCTCTAACCGATTATTTAGTTTAGTTGGATTATGTATAAACAGTTTGGGGATGTTGTTTTAAATCCCTTGGAGGGAAACACATTGCATACAGTCTCCATATGACGTGATACATTCTGGCAGGGTGCACTGAATGAAGAGATATATTTATTATTAATAATATTCATATCCCTTTTACATAAAAAACAAACCTGCTAATTAGATAATGTACGTTACAATAGATTTGACTGTGATAGTTTAGCAGTTCTAAAGAGTAACATACTTCATCATTAAAAATGAATCAGGTGTTCAGCCTGTGAACATTTTAACATTGGCTGTTATTTGTGTATTTCCTCTTACCCAAACTAAGGTTCTTAAGAAGTGACTACACTGAAAAGACAAAGGCGGGGCTTATTATTTATATTTATGCATGGGAAAGAACAATAAGCATAAATGCTACTTTGCAAAAGCCCAACGGCTGATTTCCCCAAGTACCACGTTTCCCTCTTATCATAATTATTCATGTGCGAGTGAACAGTTTCAGCTGGGTCAATACTAAAAAGGCCTCCAAGGAACCGAAATCGATGTCATTTTTCTTCCACAACGTGTTAACAAGACACACACACACACACTAACTGTGCGTTAATGTTCTAAGCTACTGGAGTATTGTGTGTCTGAATGTCAGCAGCTTGTTTGTCTTTTGATTACTCCTTCAGCCTGTTTCAGTAACTGCACACAAGGAGGAAAATCCCCCCCCCCCCCCCCAAAGAGACAATAACACAACAAGGCTCAACGCAATGTACCCGTGGAGAATGAAAATAAAAGCACCTCAACATATTGATATCGAAAAACAATTAACGGTTGTTTAACAGAGCGAGCCGGCTTTCTGCATCTGATGGTCTCAACAGTGAACACGGGCGGGACAGTAAGAGCTTACAGCTGATGAAGGGTCAGAGTGTGTGTCTGTTTGAGTGTGTTTCTCTCCCCAGGTTTGGGGCTGATAAGCCACCATCAAAGGAAACTCAACGTTTCGTCAAGGAACCTGCCCCTGTGAGCTTCTCACACACACACACACACAGATTCCCCCCACACACAGCTGTAATCATATGCACATGCATAATGTGCACACCTACTTTTCTTCTGTTTTTCTTCTCTTCCGTTTCTTAACAAGCACATAAACAGAAATCAATGCAAATGAAAGCGCACACGTAAGAGACACAATGCGCACACACACAGAGCCGCGGCCGCGGGGAACTCGAGGTGAACCTGAGGGAGAGAGAAGCCACGATGACGAACCGGCTAAACAAAATGAATGCAGAGTTTTCTGCAGAGACTTGCGTGCACAGCAAGTGACTACATGCTGTTTATTTTGGGTTAGAATGTAATTATATGGCTGCCTTTGTGACTGTTGGTGTTATTAAGCAGTTTTGCTCTCGGCTGGAAACTGTTGAATATCAGTTTTGGTGAGTAGGCAAGGAGATTATTCAGTATACTAAAAAAGTCAGATGAAAGCCTTTGCCATCAGATGTATTTATTTATTTCGCTTTCACTTTTTGAGCTGTTGTTATTGTGTTTGATTGCTTTTTTTAAATCACAAGCAAAGGATAAACTGCAGAAAGCTCCGTGAAAGCCTCCAATCAACATTAGAATAAATATGTCATAAGTCTTCAGCAAGACACTGTCGTTGCGTCTGCTGAAATCTGTGGTGTGAACTTGTTTCTGTGTCTGCACTCTGAGATTCATGGTTGGAATTCGATATGTGTGCAGGGACAGAAAATTGCTGAGAGCTTCCTTTTTTTCCTGCAACATTTCAACCGCGATATGAAGCTTCATGCGTGAGATGACGATTCCACAGTTGTTTTGATTTCAGCTCATCGCCTACGACTTTTATATTTGAGATTGAGGCACCGAAAACCCTTCGTCTGCCAAAAGATTGCCTGCATCTGGCGCCGCCGGCGACTCTGCAGCTCCGACACCGGTTTGATCATCTGTTATGAATATGAAATGCCCCCTGACTCTAAATGTTCACCTTGAGGGCGTTCGCCGAGCCAGCGGTCACGACACCTCTCCCTGCTCCGCCTACCCCGGTGTGTGTGTGTGTGTGTGTGTGTGTGTGCGTGTGATATGCTGCTTTGCTGCATGTATCGGTGCATAATATGCAAGTTTGTGAGTGTATTTACTGCACGCGCAAGTCAATGTGTTCAGGGGGCGGAGTAGACCCTCAATGTCAACGACTCCTCTTGGCAGTGAGGCCCTGGACTCACCAACTGCCCCTGCGTGTGTGTGTGTGTGTGTGTGTGACGGAGATAAGGTGACACGAGGAACCCGCATGTGCCAAACTAAACTGTCCTTGCTTATCGTCGGTCACTGAGATTATGTGACAAAAACGTGCTGACTAAACACAAAGTGCACTAATCTCCTGCTGAATGATGATCGTTTTTTTAATGCATCTCTTCACTTCAGGTTGTTTTTGTACAAACACATCCTGTTGAATAAAGACCAGGGTTCATGCACTCCCTCTCCTCTTGTCTCAAAACACACACAGTTATAATTAGAATAAACAAAGGGAACACAATACTTTCCTCCCGTCTTTAATGCCTTTTATTGTAATCGCCCCCCCCCCACTTCCCCCCCATCAGACAGTGAATCTTTGAAGAACTTTACCGTTCATCAGCCTGCGTCAGAAGCCTTTGTTCACAGGAGTCAGAGGCCAACATCAGTGTCTGCAAGCCCACGTATCCTAACCGTGCTGAGAGGAGCTCAGTGAACAACTGTGGCAGAGGTTTGTACTTGTTTCCTGGGGGGTGTTCTCGCTCATACACTGTAAATAAATACAGCCAACAAAAGCAGAGTCCTTAGGGATTCATACGTACATTCATTACAGAAATCCATCATCATACGAATCATACGAATAACTGCATTTTTTTCTAATGACTTTTTGTCTTATCCTGCTGTTATCTGACTAGTTTACAGCATGAATAATTCCTCCACCCGGCTCACCTACCACACTCACTTCCTCCAATACGCACGCACCCAAGAGACGTGTTATCCGCGCGCACGCAGGAACGCGCGTGCAGCCTCACACATAACACACATAACACACTTTCTATGCACATCGTGGGAATCAACAATCATGCAATCGAGGCCGTTTTCACAGAGGAGCAGCAGCCCTTTGTGTGAATGAACAAAAGGAATCTCCTTCCTCCCCAGCTCCTCTTCCCCCCCCCTTAATTCCTGTCATGTGACACCATGCGTCTCCCACGCGCCTGTTTCCAAGTTACCGGCATCCTTCCTAATTGCCTCCTGTGACGAGAGGGAGCTGTCCTCGCCTCCTCATCCGAGCGGAGACCACACCGGAGAAACACGCCGCGCACCTCCCGGTAAACCACGCAGCTGTGCGGACCGAGAGTGAAACTTCAGCAGCCGAACTGGGGGCTTAAAAAGGAAGGAAGGAAGCAAGGAAGGAAACGTAACTCAGCCACTTTTTTCATTTGGAAAACTGTTTCAAATGAGAAAATACTGCTCCGTGAGGACATTTGATTCTCTAAGCATATGAACGGCTTTAAACGGGAATGTTTGAGTAAACAAAGTAAAGAATTGAGAATAAAGCACGTTTAATAGCGGCTCTGCTCACTGACCTTTTCCAGCTCGGAGAGGAATCAGAAGATCTTCTCGCTCACTCGCGCTCGCAGAATTCAGCACCCTGTTGCTCCTTGTTTGCTCTTCCTTTGTCGCGCCTTCCTCACAAATAGAACCTCCTCATCCTCAGGACCAAGGCAGGGATTAACAGCTCGTGAGGGAAGCCGGGCGGAGGAGAAAGAAAAACACTTCTCTTCTCACCCCCAAGTCCTCGCTGGCAGTGTATCTCCATCCGTCAGAGCACAGCGACTGAGAGAGAGACAGAGGGAGAGAGAGAGAGAGAGATGAAACGATACGGAGTAAGTGGGCGAGTGAGAGAGGGAGGGAGGAAGGGAGGAAGGGAGGGAGGAAGCGAGCTCATGTGTATGCGCTGCACGGTGATCCACTATACTGTATGAGCTCATGTTTATCTCCTGTTCATGCATTCCTTTGCTTTTACTGTGACATCACATTATTTCCTCTTGAGGGAAACATACTTCCTGGTAGTTCTCTGCTCAACTTCCCTCATTAGTGACATACTCGCTGTGAAATAACCATGTGATGCATTTCAAATCCTCTTTGTCTCTCCCACAAGCACAATCTATCTGTTCTTGTCACATCTATTAGCTTTCTTATCAGAGTTAAACTCATCTCTTCTCTCCTAAATGCATTGATTCCCTCGCGGCTCTGAAAGTCAACGTGGAAGCGCTTACAGGGTGCATTCTAGCTAACGGCCAGCAGGGGGCAGATCCTCCAGTTTCAAAAAGAAGTCGCTTTGTAAGGAAGTTTACGGTCTCAATTGTTACTTCGTTACGGCATGATGTTCATTTGGTAAATGATGATCCTTTGTAGACGAGGCAGTTATACACATACGAGAATAAAGCATTAACAGTACCACCAATCAAACTTTCGAAACAACGTTACCTTAAAATCTACAGTGTAGAACAGAAACAAGAGTTGACAGCGATGTCAAAAATATTGGTCAAAAGAGAACAATGGGATGGAAATCGTGTCACTGTGTGGCCACCTCCCTGTGTTCATCAACCCTATTCAGTGCTGAGATCAGAGTTAAATTAAAGCTAATTATTTTTTAAGACTACATAGCTCTACATAACTGCACAGTAAACTATGGGGGAAACACTGCCGGTTTTGTAACATTCACAGGCGTAAAGACAAACCAGTATTGGCACCAGTGACTTGGTGTGGAAGTCTCAGCACAGCTTGTGTGTATGGAACATGCTGTAACTGTGATGCTCTGCCTTTCTTTTCCGCTCTGCCGATTCCTGATGTTGCATGGCGGCCGGAGAGCCCGGGCGTCTCCCGAGGTACGGCCACACCCTCGGGTCAATGTGCACGAGAAGCCTTGGACCAATCCGGTCACACACACATCGCTGGAAGGTGATCTGGGGGCCAAACCGACAGCGTCCTATGTTGATAAAGTGTCAAAACTCCACAAATCACACACACGCCACACCACAGACAAAGTGACAGTTCACACCACAGAGGAAGTGATGGAGGATCTCATCGAAGCGAGGAATCGCAGGGCACCAGCATATGGCCGATTGACACGACACACATTGGTCCCCGGACCGGGGCGAGCAATAGGTGCTCCCGCGGTGCACTGTGGGTTTCGTGCCGTCTCGGCTCGCCCTCGTGCAGCAAGATCGGGAGCTCCGGTTGGGGGGCCAGTCCCTGTCAGAGGGGGAGTGTGCCGGAAGGGCGGCCTGAGGGAGGCTGAGCAGGGATCGGGCTGTGTGACGATCCGCCAGGAAGGAGTATGCAGAGCCGCGATATAACGAGTGCGTTTTGTGTGTTCTTAGTGCCGTTTTCTCTACATTCAGTGCAAACAGACACACTTGTCAGGGGAAAAGCTCGCAGCCATTTTCTGTGCATCATATTGCATTTGCGCTACATGTGAACCAAAAACTATTGGTTAACGATTAAAAAAAACTGGAATCCATCACAACACCATATAAGATGATTGTATTTGTCACAGAAAAGAGCTGTGATGAAATTCTTGCCAGGGTTGCTGTTTTTTTTTAACATCGCCCGCAGCGCCGGAGAGTAAACATTACACAATTCTCTTACAACTCTTATAAAATATTGAGTGGCGTGAGATGTACTCAGGAATCGAGGTCATGGTAAATGAGTACAAAGCTGGGAAGCTGGCTGCGTGGATTGTTTCGGTGTCACATGATCATTCGTGGACTTTCTTCCTTTTGGCCAAGCTGCGGTAGATTTAAAAAAGAAAAAGTTTTATTTTTAAAGAGGCTTCATTAAACCATTAAACCTGCAGGGTATTTGATACAGATGTGACTTTCACTCAATACTCAATAGAGATTGTTAAGCTTGTTATATGGTTTAGGTGCAAAGAAATAACTTTTGGAAAGGCTTGTCTGTATTTTTCTCTTGGACGCCTCTCTCTTCTACAGCACAGGCTTCTGGAGCTGGGTTCTTATTGCAAGGCATTTGTATTGGTGGTTTTAAAATGATTTTCATTGTTGCAAAATATAGTCCAGCTATGAATTAAGTGTCCCTCAGCGGATACCGTGTAAACCCCATGGTAACAAAGAGAGTGCACGTGGTTGTTGAGCTTTTCTCAGGGGCCCTGCTTAAGCGCATGCACTAGATAGAGGTCAGTCGAGACATGGGCAATTGTGCAAATCCCTGCAAGTCATTGCCTGTCCTCTGCTCTTAAGGGGATGCTGCTAATGGAAATTTGTATCTTGCAGCTCTCTCAAGTGTCCTTTTTGGACGTCTGGGTGCAGTTCTTTATTTTTGCTTTGCTGAGATGCAAAAGATTAGAAAATTCAAATTCCAAAAGAGCTGTTTTCTTGTTTAATTTGATTGTTTGAGTATGAGTGTGAAAAGTGGCCCTTCAGGGTGCTGGTTAAGGACACCTTGTACCTCCACGCTGATGCTGACACATGCATTTGCAAAAATAAAATCAGACACACCAAATCCCCTGGCGGGTGGCTGTGATGTGAGCGTGCTTTCTGTCATTCAGGGAAGCGTCTCCTCTTCATTTCTTTCAAGGGTAGCGTTGTTGCAACGCTCTCCATGTTGAAAGCAGCACGCTGTTTCTTAACATCAGCAACTACAGACTCAATCATGTCAAGACATTGTTCCTTGTCAAAGAAAAAGGTCAAAGCAACAGGCCACGATTTTATGGCTCTCTTTAAATACTGCGTTTCTCACCAAAATCGACAAAAACTGGAGGTAAGTTAAATGATATGCATACATACACACAGAGAAACTAGCCTTTTCAGAATATCAATTTATGTGGCATTTATAGATATAGAAAGATTTTTGTTTTAGGAAGGATTTTAGGAGAATAAATCCTAAACTTTTCTTACTTTGAGCTTTATCCACACTGCTGAGTCAAACCTTTTCTGGGAATCATTCGCATACGTCCAAACGATGTCACGGCCGACTCAATGTGAAGTGAAAAATCGCTCCTGGCATCACACTGAAGCTTTACTTTCTCTCCCAGTTTCTAATTCAACTGCATTTCACCATCGTCATATAATTACAAACTTTTTTATTGTCAAAACACATCATTATTATTTCAATCTGCAGGTAAATTAATCACTTTCATTAAGGTCCATTTTTTTCAGATGTTTCTCGCGAGGAAGGAAGGATACCCGAGAGAAACTATTAGTCGGATCATGGATTGGTGGTCTGATCAAACCTTTTAGAATGTTTCACTTTTTGGTAAGAGAAACGTCACAATTTATCAATTTTAAAAAATGTATCAATTCTATAGACAAATTAGGTACTTTGAAATGGCATAACTATATAGGTTGATAAATGTATGTAAAGAATTCCAAGAAGGAAAGATTTGCTCTATTTAATAATACAATGTATTAATTTAATGTATCTTGAATATTTAAGAAAATTGTATCAGTATGTGTAAGAGTTTAGAGGCTAACGTAATGTGGATATCATGCTGTGAGGTGACATGCTAACAACCCAAATGACTTTGCTCTAAATAACTACTAATGCTATAAGCAAAGAGTCCTAATTCATAAAGCCATGGCTCCCACTGTAAATCAAAATCTGCGCTCGCTTTGGCCTACTTACAATTTCTCAGTCAAAGCTCGAAAAATCTCTTTTGGACAACAAACTCAAAAGAAGAAAAGGCCAAAAGAAATGTCAGACAGCACAGAACAACTCCATTAAATTTTCCCCACTGTTCAATAACATGTCGGCTCTTTTCGCGTGTAAACAAGAAAGTCTCAGTGCCCTGTCACCATCACATAACAGGACCCTTCACTCCGAATGAGGAGAGCCGCTGCCCTTCAGACTGATGCACACTAATGTAACTGGTGGCCCACCTAAATTGTGTATGAGGTTTTTGGGGAAAGCTTACAAAACAAATTGATGTGAAAATCTGCAAGCGTCCTACTGTGGAGACAGAATAACAACGAAATCATGGTCATGGTCACCGTCACAGCCGAGACCAAAGCACTGGAACTATTTTTGTGTGTGTGAATAAAAACGAAGCATTATTGCAGCAATCCCACTCAGATGAAGTTGGGGGGGTTTTTGTGCAAAGTTTAACAGCTTTTCACCTGCAGAGGAACCACGTATTCTGCAGCGATTGGTGCCCTCACTGTCGATTTGGTCCAAGGTTTTTCGTGAGAAAACATTTCAGGATTTTTCAGCGCTGAGATCAATTCTATTCTCAACCAAAACCATTGGATATGATAGATTTTTCTTTTTATCTTTACAGTGTCATAAAATAATAAAACAGTGCCTAAGGACAGCAGGCAGTGACAGCAGGCAGACAGTGACTGTAGAATAGCTGATGAGCAGCATGGTTGCACGTTAGCAGATCTTAAGACTCCTGTGAGAGGTCTTAACTTCCAGTAATTCACTTATACAATAGAATATGGGTGACAAATGGAGAGAATATCTTTTTAACAGAAAATGTTATGTTTCAGTTCATATATATTATAACTGAGGATATGTAATCATCAACTTTTTACACTAATAAAGTTGGTAAATTAACAAAAAAACAAAATCAGAAGCAGCATGAATGATCAATAACTAATTAAGAAAAGCAATTGTGTGTTCCTTTCAAAGCTTTTAATGAGTAAACAATCAGATTTTTTTCCGCCTTGTTCTTTTCTTAGAAAGGAAATAAACTGAAACGTATTAGCTTCAGTAAAGTGGTGCTGAGGGACGGGGTGCCGAGTTCACGTGTGAGGGTACCTTCTCGGTGAAGAAGTATCCGCCGGTCTACGTACCGACCCTCGGAGTCGGAGTCGTGGCCGAAAAAAGATGTC